TATAGCAAGATAAAATAACAATGAATCAATTCAATAAAGACCTCAGGATTAACTCCCTAATTTTTTCACATCCTAATTCGTTCATGCTTTGTATTTTCTCGTATGACCCTTATAAAATATCAAAACTAGTCACTTCATATTGTATCTTAATTTTTTTTCTCTAAATGTAGAATGTAATACCCTGAAAATCACAGTAAATTTTAATTTCTAAAAACAACCCATAATCATAAATGTTTACATAATCATTGTTTCAAAAGTGTATTTTAGTAATCAGAGTATCCCAAAATCAAAACAATATAAAAAAAACAAAGGTTGTGCACGATCACGCCTTCGCCTTGTCGCGGTCGTATGAAGTACTTGAAACAATAAACTAAAGCAGTAAGCCAAAGCTTAGTGAGTTCCCCCAAAACAATTAACTGAAGCTATAAGCTTAAGCTTATCGGGTTCCCTTAAAGTACCAACACACAACATATAACAAGATTTACTGGGTCCATAACTAACAAACCGGATTACCCCTGAGCCCACAGTATGAGTCTCGCTTGCCCTTCAGGCCTACAACTCACATCTGGCTTGCTCCCGAGCCCACATCCTAAGTTTGGCTTTCCCTACAGGCCCATAATGTATGTTTGGCTTGCTCTCATGTTTGTTGGCTACTGCACAAAGTAGTACTACCTCAACCCACCCATACCATGTCGACATATATGTAACTGATGGATTTTGATCATAACAAATAATCCCTATGTGTGCATGCAACCCTAATATACTTGGATTTATGTTTTCTCTAATTGAACATACAAGTATTAAACATCAAAAGGAAACCTTAGGAGGTATCTACTATTTTCGAAAATTGTAATAAAAGATAGTAAACATACCTTTAATTGTTAAGTAGTAATAACAATTTGAATCCTTAGTGTTGTTGAAGCTTCGAGAGCAATCACCACAAATTTCATGCCTCTAATGGTTCACACCCAAACTAAGCAAGAGCATGAGAGATAAGAGAGGAAGATAAGACTTGAGAATTTCGAATATCCTTCTTAGGGTTGGAGTGGCCAAAATCAGGAGGGGTATAGCCCTTTATATAGTTGTGTTGGCTTAGAGCCAAAGTTAGGGTTTTAAGGAGGAAACCCTAATTCCTTAGCTTAAGGCCTAAGCAGCCCAATAATTCCATCCAAGAGGCCCTTGGATGAATTTCTAGGGACTCCTTAGAAGATTTTGTCCAACCCATCTAGGAGGGTTCTATAGCCCACTTCCATAACTATCAATAAATTGCCAAACATCCCATGCACTTTTAATTAACTCCTTTAATACCAAAATTAATTTCTGATTAAATATTAATTAAATAATATGAATTATAATTAATATATTATTTCCATAATACATTAATAAATCAATTATTTCACTTTTTTATTCAAATAATAAATATAATCTCTCTCTTCAAAATCCATCCTATCCAGTTGCTAGTATGAGGGCAACCCAAAATGACTGTGCTACTATCAATTTAAGTATATACCAATTATAGTTATGGGATTAGACACCTAATCCAACAATAACATATAAACATATAACTAGTCATTAGACAAATAGACATATCTACAAATCACTATTGCATACTACATCTTAGTTACCAAGATATCAATCTAACAGATCACCATAACATATTGATATCCTCTATACCAAGATACATAATCTAGTGGGCTGGCCTTGGTGCCTTCAACCCACAAATACAGTGAGGAAAACTCACCTCTTAATCTGAAAAGATCTCTGGCTGAACACAACTCCAAATGACAACTTGACTCATCACCTAAACACCGAATATTTACCAACCTCAAATACCACTTAAATTATCTAAAATACCCTTGGTTAAAACTTGATCAAACCGGTCAAAATCAAAATCAATCCATACTCAAAAGTCCTATAGGGGCCCAATGTCAGAAACTAGTGGCCCAACAAGGCCTAAAACCCAAAATTGCATTTCATGTCGTGACTAAATCCGTGGTCACTTCGTGGAAGTCACTAGTTCCGATTCTAAAGACTCGTTCTTGACTCAAACAACTCAGCAAGGGACGAGTTTTACCTACTTACATCGTGAGACCTCATGTCTCACGTCGTGAGAATGGTCTGAAGCCCAAACCAACGATTCAACGTTCTTGATGCGTTCAGCCTTCAACTTCAACTCTTACAGAAGCTTAAGGGGACCCTAATGGTCCATAAAAATGACTGCTTTATGGAAATACATGCACCGTGTATGTCCTTACACCATTTTAGGTTAAAAGTAGAAACATGACCTCAAGTTCTCATGCAGGCTTCTAATACTCTACCAACTTCCAGATCAGAATGATATAAGACTCAAAAGACTAATTGAATCCATAAAGATGCTAACTTTATGGATATTCTTCACTCCAACAAGCTATAACATAAGGAAATAGGACCAAAAATCTATATCTAGCGAAGAAATGAAATAAAGCTTGAGTCTTGATACTTAAAATGGCCAAAAAAAGAGAAGAGTTGATGACAATAATGCTTCCTTGCCACTCCCTTCACTATGGTGCTTCTTTTCTTTCTTTATTTTCCTTCAAACAAGCAAAACACTAAGGATCTTAAAGAGGGTCAAATTTAGGGTTCCAGAAGGCTTAAAGGGTGAAAGAGGTTGAGGATGTGCAACCCTAGCCTTTCATTCCTTTAAATACCCATAATATTAGGGTTTTGAGTCATCAGGCCGTCCTCACTTCGTGAGACTCGAAAATGTGGTCAACTGGTCAACCAATGTGGTCAACTGGTCAACTAATACTCACGATGTGGCCATCACATCTCACGTCGTGACCCCCCCCCCCCCTCCAAAAGCTATAAATTCAAGGAATTATGTACCTCAAGGATATGGATGTTATATAGAATTCATCTGGGGTTTCTTCACCTTAATCATGCGAATTTCTTCATCTACAAATATAAATTATATTTTGTTTTGTTGCGCTGATATAATCTCCAAAAGATACCATGCTCCACTACTTGTCAAGAAGTTGAAAGTTTTTTCCCTCTTGAATCCTGTATGCCAGGGTTACTTCTAATTTCTAAGTTTTCTTCCTTTCGTTCAAAATTATTCATCGATTCCTTTTCCATTTCTTAATCGGAAAATTTGAGATTTCAGTTGGGTTTGTTCGAAAGCGAGTCAAGATGCACTTGTAGTAGCTTTGAAGGGCCAAAATATATATGGTTTGGGCTAGGCATCAATGTATGGATGAGTTAGGGCATTTGGCAATGTATTTTGGAGTCTTTTGTGTATGCTTAATGTTTTCGGTCTAGCAAGTATTCTTGGTCAAAGTGTGACAAAAAACTAGTTTTCGGTCTGCCAACCGAAAACTGTTTTCGGTCTTGGTCTGTATGTATAGAGGTCAGGTTGTCAGGTTCACTGTTCAGTTGTACTTTCAAGAGTTTTCGGTCCCTGAGTTGTATCAGACGATTCGTGTGTTTAATCGTATGCAAGCTCAGTTTTATTCATCTTCTTCTCCATTTCTTCTTTGTTTCCTTATGCTTGATTGATCATTGGTAAAGATCCTTCCATCAAGGACCTAACAAGCTTTAACCATCTAGATATTTTTTTGAATGACAGATGCATTAAAACACTAGCGACACTAGCAAGAAAGTAAAAGCAAAATCATTGCGAGTTACAAGCAATACAAAGAGAAATATACAAGGCAAGCCAATAAATACTATTAAAAGGATATCTATGCTTAATCAAGTTATATGTAATTAAATGAACATCATTTATCGCCTTTGAATAGGAACATCTATTTATGTTGAAAACAAAGGCATTACGAGTTTTCCAAATATACCACTCCATCAAGTACATCAAAGCCAATATAAGATTTCTCCTTTTGTTTTTTACTTTGAATCGATTTCTTCAAGATAATAAGAAACTCCTCTATATTTCCAGGGACTGTAGAAATCAATCCACTCCACCAGGTAAACCAATTACAAATTTAAATGTAGAAGAAACATTTGAAAAAAATATGACCTGCATCTTGCTCCTCCATACCACAGCGCAAACAAACTAAAGCATTAAGAACAATACCTCTAGCCGCCAAGTTGATAGCGATCGAAATCTTGTTGTCGATCATCCGCGAAACATTACAATTTATCTTGATTGTCACTCATTTAACCCATCTAAATCCATGCATCTAGCCAACATGTTCCATCTTTTTAGCCATTAAAATAAAGAGAGAATTGACCGGAAAAAAAATCCCCGACACATTAGCCCTCCACTGCCACATATCTGTTGTGGACAAAACAATATTTGCGACAACCCTCTCCAAGCTTTTCGACTCCCAAAGCTCCATTCCTCGTCTCAGATTTCTCTACCACAATCCCTTAAAAATGTTTCCATATCGATAAAAAAAAATTCTACCAAACCTTGTAGTTTTTGTCTACCTCAAGCTTGTATAACTTTAGGAAAAAAATCTCTCAAAAACATCACCACATCATCTATCTTTCCAAAAGTGAGTATGTTTTCTATTCCTCAGATTTCCTTAAAATAAGTCATCAAGAGATAGTCTCATTCTCTAAGATCTTCATTAATTCGGTAAATAGAGAGCCAAGTGTCCAAGAATTGCATATATTATTATGTTTTTTATTTATATCATTTTGCCCTTGAACTAAACTAATAAAAACCATAAACTACATGGACCTAATATGTACAAATGCTATGTTTATATATCTTTTACCCTAGAAATTACACTTTTTCCTCCACTGCCAAAGGCACCACCTTCATCTAGATGAACTCTACATTCAACCATCTAGACGAACTCTTGTATTTTCATGATGAAGGTGATGGTGCCGAAAAAGAGGGTGGCGGGGGAGAACGTGTCGTTCTCTAGGATGATAGAGATATAAACATAACATTTGCAATTACATGTCTGTTCCATGTAGTTTATGGTTTTTATTAGTTTAGTCCAAAGGTAAAATGGTATACTTAAAAAACAAACAAATGAATTGTTAGATTTAGCAGCCATCGACCAATGTTATAAGAAAATAAAACTCCAGTGCTATACTTTTGAACCTTGGATCAAAAATAAAATTTTCACTAAACTACAGGTACCAGTTCTGTAATTTACTCTGTATTTAAGAAAAGTGCAATATACATCGAATCTAAATAAACATCGTTTTTATGTTCGAATTGGAACCCTTTCGCAGCAGCAGCCGCACACCTGAGATTGAACCTGCAGCTTCGATGGCGGACCCACGTGTGTATGCGATCTTACATACAGTGCACCCAGGGACCATCTAGGAACAAAAAACAAACAAACATTTAGCATTGTTAACGTGATATGCATTATTTTTTTTTAAATATATATAGATATACACTATTATTAATTCTTTATAATATTAATTTTTTTTTTTTTTTTTTTTTTGAAGAAACACACCTATGTACCGTCTTGTAGCTAAAAATCCACGGTCACTGTCTGTTTGGCTCCGGTACGTTTGGTTCTTGTCGATATAGACCGGCTCACGTTTTCTTTTACAAATCGAGTTAAAACCCGACAAGTAAACAAATGATATTTTATTATATTACAATTATAATAATAATAATACGGTAAAAATAAATATTAAAAATAAGTAAATAATTACATTTAATTATAAACATTAATTCAGTTTAATTGAATTTAATGTGTGGAAGTAGCCGGAGAACGGCTAGACATGGCTGCAACAGCAGCTCCACCATCATCCTCACCACCACCACCGCTGCCACCTCCATCAACAGCCACCGACACTTTCATTGCTGCCGCCGTGGTCGTGCCACCGCCAGGCCGTTTTCTTTTCTTCTCGTAAGGAATACCTCGAGCCTTGGCTTGACTTTCTCTCACTTCCCTCAAGTACATCCTCACAGCTCTCGCACCAAACGGGTTCGACTCAGGACGCCCGCCGTTCTCCTCGTATGCAGCTCGGAGCCGGCCGATCAGCGCGTCTAGACTCCCCCAAGCTTGCTTGAGCTGACAAGCACATGGCGCCGGCGGGTTTGGCTGGCCGAAGTACGGACAATCAGTCACGTGCACCTTCGTTTTACCGAACTGATCAAGGTACTTAAGAAACTCGATCACGTGAGCTCCGCTGCACCTCGCCAGCGTTAACGGCGGCTTGTGGTTGCTCAGGTACTGTAAGAACGTGTTCCAGTCGCGTCGTTTCTGAGACTCGTATCTGCTCGGGGTTGTCGCTGGTGTATGGACCGTTGACCTTACAGCGGAGGAGTCATCCGCAGGACCACCAGTCGGCGATGGTCCCGGGTCATTTGACCCTGATCCGGATGCTAAATCCATTTGGGATTGCGATTTTTTGAGTGTAATTGCCAATTGGACAATGGGGCTTTGTCTTTGAGAAAGAGAAGATTTTGTCTGTAATTCTTTTAGTGATTGTTGATATTCGTTTTGATTGGTTTTGTGGAGAGGGATGGTGATGATGGGACGGAAATAGAAAAGTAATATGAATGTGTACGAATGGATGATTTTTCTTGGAGAAAAAAGAGACTAGAGTCTAGGATGACTATTCAATTTTGTCATATAACATACAATTACTTTATTTAATTATTCAAAATAATTAAAAGAAACTCCAAAGTTTCTTGAAAATAAAAACGTCCTATAAATATAATTTCTTCCATTGTCCAAAAAATTGGCATGCATCTTCAAACGTTTATATCCATTCCAAAACATTTTACTTGAAGCTTTTCGAAAAAAAAAATTGTTCATAAAAAATTTTATGAATACATTTATCGAAGCTGATGAAAATAGTTTTTTTTTTTTTTTTTTTTTTTTTTTAATAATAATAAAATAAGATGTATTTTTAACCCACCCAAAAATAAAACATTAAACATCCTGAATTGAATTCTTCATCCAATAATGATGTTTAAAAGTGATCTATACCTACGTATGTCACAATTAGATTAAGGAGTATGGTCACCACCAACCGATTAAAAAAATGATGAGAATTCAACGTCACGTTAGCTATATGTTTACTACCAAACCATTAGCTTTTAGATATGGTTATCATTCTATATTATCTATCTTTTTTTTTTTTGATATTATATTAGATAAAAAATATAATTATTAAACATAAAAAATATTTTATTAATAAAAAGTTCGTTAAATTGAAAAAAGAACATAATTTATAAAATTAAATAACATTTATAAATAATGTGGTTATCATTCCATATTATTTATACTTTTTTTTACTTAAATTAAATAAACAAAACATAATTTTTAAAATTAAATAAACATTTTATTAGCTTTTAAAATTATATAAACACACATATATACTTCATATTATTCCATATTACCAAATTAATTAAACCCAAAAAAAATTTACTTCATATTATCAAAACCAAGTCTAACCCACAAAAATGTTAGCCCACTGAAAATGTCTAGCCGACTTAAATTTAAATAAGCTCAATCTTTTTAATTTAAACGATTATTTCCTAATCGTCTATTTTATTATTCTTCTTCTTCAGTCATCGCCTCTTTTATTCTTCTTCGTTTTTGCAACACCTTTTAATGATGAAATTCTTTTTTCGGGGAACCTCATTCAAGAATTTCCTGCGCCTTCCTTCGTGAACAACGACCATTTGACCGTTTGGAATAAACGAATCTCATTTGTTGTTTGCAAAGTTATTCCATCATTGGTTGTCTTCACTCGTGGAGCCGGTCTCACCACAACACACTCACGTTCCTTGGGGACGATGTTCACGCGTGGGAAGAGATGCCACATCAACCTTCACGCATGGTTTCCTCTCCCATACAACATGACCTTATGATTAAACCATTCAACATCAACTAAATCATAACATGAAAGATACAAATATGTGGTTATAACGAATGCAAGACGGTTGAGTTCAAACACGAAAATTAAACCCTAGTTGATCTTGTTAATGTATTAGTTTGTATGTTTTTCATACTTGTATATAGTATATGGTCTTTTTTTGGTTGTCTTGTGCGTGTGTGTTCATATATATATATATATATATATATATATATATATATATATATATATATATATATATATATATATATATATATATATATATATATATATGGAAAGGGAAGTTCCTAATAAGGGTTTTCTGGCCAGCTTTTGCGCACCGAACAATCCTTGCTGCGAACATGAGGTTGTCTCATGTCCCGGGGTCACTATAGGTGAACCTCCATAGCCACAAGGGGGTAAGTAGTGTCAAGATTAAAACATCGGTCAATAGGTTATCCATCATATTTTCAACATGTCTTATCAAATCACCACAACAACCATAACATTTTTTACGGTCTAATATAGAATAAAGCCTTAAACGCCTACACTTAATTATTTTTCTGGCAACACTACATCTTTATCTTCGTTGTTGTTGTTACCTTCTTCGTCAATCACATTCTACTAAAGTCATATGAGTTTTCATTTTGTAATAGGGCCACTTACTATCACCGGCTGGGTCTTTCATTGTCCACTCTTCCTCTCCATTACCTATTTGGACTCTTGACATAAGGATAATGTAGTTTGGATGCTGTAACCAAGGTTCTAAAATGCTCGTCATGGCTTGCCACGACTCCAAGGCTTGTAGCTGCCACTGAGCTTTGACAAATTGCCGCCTTAAGTCATATATGTATATAAAAATAAATAATAGTAGAAAATATATATAATTATTAATTATATACAAATTTGCCGCCTTATTGCACGCCTTACAAACGACGTGACTCACCATAGCTCGAAAAAGCTTGAAGTTTAACATTGCTGCCAAATCACGCCTTACGTTATTTAGAACCTTGGATGTAACATCCTAAAATTTAAGATTTGGTTCTTAAATTAATAAAGTAAATAATGAAAGATGGTTTACTTAGTTAAATCATTAAAGATTAATCGTATCATTAATTTATGTAGTTTAGAAAGCTAGAAGTGAAAATAATAACATTTTAAAAGTTTAAGGGCCATTTGTGACAATCAGGTGAAACTTAGGTTTGAGTAGAGATTTGACCAACATAATAACTTGGACTAAGTTTGTAAAGATTAGGATGGAGAAGGACCATTTTGGAATTTATTGAAGCTTATAAGTTAGTTTGGAGTTTTCTTGAAAGATCTTTTGCAACGAGGGACCAAAAGTAGCAATTTGGAAAAGTTTAAAGCCAGTTAATGGGTCTTCTCTATCATTTGCTGGGGAAGAATTTAATTAAGATAAAGGAAGAGGGAAATAGCTATTTTTTATTCTCAAGAGCTCTTAGGGTTAGTTCAAGTGGAGATTTGATTGTCCAAGCAAAAGGAAGATGAATCAAAGGCTTTTTAAGGTAGAATCTCTTCTCCTCTTACTCTCAAATTCGAATTCATGACTTGGGGGATACCCTAATGTCGATTTTAGATTGTTAGGGTTTGTAAGTCCCACAAACGCGAACCAACCAGTGATCAAACACAATCAAGATGCAAAACAATAAGAATTAGAAGGAGTAGAAGCAAAGAAGTTCCAACAATACACATGTTATATTCAAGCGGTAAACGTCTGCTACACTTGGAATCACACACACACAAACGACTTCACGACTAACTGACACATTTGACACTATATATAGGGGCAACCAACCGTAAACATGTTCACGGCCGTACACACGTTCACAGCCGTGAACACTACTCGTGAACACTACTCGGTCGTAAACACAACTGCAAACACACACACAACACCCATTACATGACCAAAACCCTATCAAGACTTATACAGATTGATGCCTAGCTCAAACCAACAAAATATAACCTAACTGTAACACCCAAAGTTTCGAAGGCCAAGAAAGGAAAGAAAAGCCCTAATTTAAGGGTAGACTCGGCGAGTCCGAGCGGGATCCGAGTCGAGGAGTAAGCGACCGACTCGGCGAGTCGGCCAAGGTGACTCGGCGAGTCTGGTTTGAACGAGGAAAACCCTAATCCCAGGAGTTGTATCCTATTTAAAGGGTGTTATGTCCCTCCCTCAGCCCCCATATCACCCTAGAGAGCCAGTGCACCCTTGAGTTCGGGAGAGCTTCCATCATTTTGAGAGTTAAAGCTTGGAGGAAGGAACTTTGGGGAAAGGAACTTGAAGGGCAAGTAGGTTGCTTCAAGGAGGAGGTGTAGATCCGAGATCTACTTCAGTGGTGTTCATCTTGGAGGTAACAAGCTGCTATCTCCCTTCATTTGCACCTAGATCTTTGTGTGTGTTTTGGGCATTCTTGGCTTAAGAGTAACCTTTGAGCTAGAGGTTCAGATCTGAGGTTGCTACCTCAGATCCATGCTTATTTTGGTCTAGAATTCCATAAAGTATCAGCCCTTGAGTGGATCATGGAGCCTTTTTGCCTTAAGCCCTAGTTTATAGCATATTTTGCCTAGATCTCCTTCTCTACACGTAAAGTTTGCAACTTTACGCGGGGAAAAGGCTTAGGAAGGGTGGATCTACAGTTTGGAGTTCATGCATGACTCAAATGTCCTCTGCATGTAAGGAGATCTGAAGGGACTCAGCGAGTCCTTTGGGTGGACTCGGCGAGTAGCATGAAGTTGTGGAGAAACTCGACGAGTCGGATGAACAACTCGTCGAGTCGTATGAAGATTGCCTTGTACTCGGCGAGTCTGTTCTTGGACTCGGCGAGTCAGGTCGCGAAACCCCAAACCCTTCGAGTTGAGAATCGAATCAGTGAGTCGGGTGAAGACTCAGTGAGTTGGACAGGTTTGGACTCAGAAATCGGTAGACTCGGCGAGTCATGGACTGACTTGGCGAGTCGAGTCGCGAATGGAAGGAATCTGAACATTATGAACTCGGCGAGTCAGTAGGGTGACTCGGCGAGTAGGGTTAACCTGGAAGGTTGACTTTGACCAGGAATTTGACCTTGGATCAGGGTGGACTTGGTTGTATTTCGGGGGTCAGTTAGACTCAGTGTTGCATTGATATTGGTAGTTCGGGGAGCAAGGGGAGCAGGAGTTCCGTGAGTTGTCGGGCAGCAACTAGTGAGATCATCAGCAAGTTCAGCCAGTGCAAGTGAGTTTCCCTTTGTGTGAATGGGTCTAAGGCCACAATGCCGGCCCATGTAGCTATGAGTAGAAGACCCGGGGGTTAGCCCTAGGCACAGTATGCTAGTATTATTTTCAGGACGAGGTCCAGTAATAGCGGGCGGGTGCCCAAGGAATTGTTTATATGATAGTTATACTTGTTGTCTGTGTGATACATGTATGTGCCTGGTAGGGAGGTGAGTGTGGGCGAGGTCCCGTATCTCACCAATAGCAGGGTGTGGATGGGGTTCCATATCTCATTAGTAGTAGAATAGGGGCGAGGCCC